CAGGCTGCTTCTCCTCTCTTCCTATGGTTGCATCACTCTCCCCTCCCCACCCACCACCATAGCTAGCACCTGCTGGCACATTACTGGTATTCAGAATTAGTTGTTTGCTTAGAAGGTAATCAGAAAAAAAAATGATAATATGGAAGTCAAGATTAATGAAATTTTAGGGACAGAATATCATCTTTCTTCATGAGTTAGAAACATTGTTTTGATAGAAATATATTTGATGGTTTAAAGGAGAGACTCAAGGAGGCATTAAACCCAGAAGGAACGGCCCAAGTTTCAGAAGAGGGATGTTTGTGGAAATTGGGAGAAATGAAAGAATGTGATGAGTCTTTGATTGACAAGAAAAGGAGAAAGAGGATATGATAAGGAATCTGGTTGATCATATGACAGTTAATAAACATAATTGCACTCCTGTTATTACAAACCTTGGCTGTTGATTCCAAATTTAGATTATATTTATTAAATGTTGGGTGTTTTTTTTAACATGTTTTAAGTGCTTAAACTGGGAAACAAATTTAAGAATCATAATTCTTAAATTTCTGTTGTAAATAAAACTTACTTCTTAATTTTATAGACTTTTAGCTATAAATATATATACAAATTCAAAAAAAGAAATATTTATAATGAATTATGTCTAGTCACAATGTTCGATTATCTTTGTAATTATTTAATTTACATTTTCCTACTTAGGAAGTTATCTCCTTTTCTATTACCACTTATTTTCACCTCTATCTACTGTTTAGCAGTCCAGTGTTTGCACCTGTCAATGAAGTAGCCACATAAAGACCAGCACATGTATTCCAGAGAAAATGGAACGCCAGCAGCTGGCAAAACAAAATGACAGTTTAATGTGGACAGAGCCAGGATTGAATATAACGTGCTATAGCGGGAGTTGAAAGTTCAACTCAAACTGGAGAGCAAACACTCTAGTCTACATGTGGTGCTTTTTTTTTAATGAAAAGAGAAGCTATCTTTGTCATTGTCAGAGTATTGTCTTTGGGAGAGATTGAATATTTATTTGCTTTACAGAAGATATGGTTTAGCACGGTTTTATCTGTAGTTATTACAGAGTTGATCATTATATGAGAGTTGGGAAAAAGGAGCCTTGAAAATTGGAACTAATTTTTACTGTATGCAAATTTAAATACAGAATCTTTTTTTTCCTTTCTAAAATTTTTAATTTAATTTAATTTATTTATTATTTTTGGTTGCGTTGGGTCTTCGTTGCTGTGTGCGGGCTTTCTCTAGTTATGGCGAGTGGGGGCTACTCTTCGTTGCAGTGCGTGGGCTTCTCATTGTGGTGGCTTCTCTTGTTGCGGAGCACGGGCTCTAGGCTTCAGTAGTTGTGGCACACAGGCTCAGTAGTTGTGGCTCGTGGGTTCACTAGTTGTGGCTCGCAGGCTCTAGAGCACAGGCTCAGTAGTTTTGATACATGGACTTAGTTGCTCCGTGACATGCAGGATCTTCCCAGACCAGCGATCGAACCCGTGTCCCCTGCATTGACAGGTGGATTCTTAACCACTGCGCCACCAGGGAAGTCCCAGAATCTTTTTTTTTTTAATAAACTTTCAATTACTGATATGACTTCAGATAGAGTGAAATAAATATAAATGCCTTTCTAAGTGGAAACTTATTTTGTTTTGCCAGTTTGTTTTCCTAACTTCCTGTGGATTCGTTTTTAAAATTTGGGTTGGTTTATTCCCATTAACATACGGGCAAGTGCCCTCCAAAGTTTGGGGCTCTTACTCCCATGATTTCCTTGGTCTACTGTTAACCAAATGGCAGTGAATTCACTGTGTACTCCTCATGTCCTGGTCAGAGAGGCAGTTCAAGCGGATTGTGTTCTTTGAGAACAAACAGGTAGAGGGAGCCCCAAAAGTGCATGCCTCCCATGACTTGGGTGACCCCAACGTATTCGAAGCCAAGGAAGGCTAATGATAACCACGATTCTCACTGTTTTGTTAAATAGGTGTTGCTAGGCCTCAGGCTTTGTTTTTGGCTAACTTCCTGCCACATGGGCCTTGGGGAGACTGAGTCACTATGCTGGTGGTTGTAGGTGGTAGGTTTCTCTAGGAAGGTGTGCAGACAACCAAGGGAACTATAATCTTGGTAGTTCTAGGACCACCAGAAAGCTCCTCAGGACTGAGGGGACTGATGGAGTAGGAGTTAGAGTTTAGTGAACTAAGGTAAGAGCAATGGGTTAGGGTCCGAGTTCAGGATTAAGTCCATGCTGAAAATTCTCCTATCAGCCAGGGGATAATCAGGAATTATCAGCAGGGAGTTCGTAGATCACCATATAGAAGTTTACATATATTGACATCATAATAAAGGCAACCACAGTAAGAGCTGAACATTTGCAAATAAAAAATCAGGCACGCGAGGGAAGAGAGAAGATGGAAGGTAATTCGAATGCTCTAAATTCTTAATGTTTATTTGTGGGGAGCCCAAAAAATAAAGGCTACTGTTTATTTATAATGATAATGACGAGAAAAACTAAAACAAAACCAAACCCTTGGCTTCTGGGAAGTGAGAGTTTTATGTTCACGTATACTATCTGCAGTTTATTTTTAAAATATGTGCGTGCATTCTCTATCGCTAAAAATCTAAAGTAACAGGGATGGTGAAATCAATAGGTTAGTGTATAGAAGTGAATGGTAATATGTGTGATGTGCCTGGCACATAGTAGGCACTCAAAAACTTGTAACTTTTATGGCTGTTAATTACAAATTTTGTTACGTGGCAGCTAATGTCAGCTGGGTTCTCTCTGCCCCTTCAGATACGAGTAAAGTTGGCTCAAACCCACATTCTGTGCTTTGTGGCAGCCGAAAACGTGTCCACTTGTTTCTCCAGACACCCATGGCATCTTCTGGTGGTTGTTGTTATGTCTGGGCTCCTTCTTCCACTGAAACGAGTCAATTTCTGAGTCCCATTGCACTCTGTGTCATCCCAGCTCCCACTTTGTTGAATCATACACTGAATTCAACCCAATTCTGTGATTGCTACTAAAACCACTCACTCACAGGACACCTTTAGTTGAATGAGGTTGAGAAGGTAACAGGGACAGTCTGCATCACCAAGATGCCGTTTCACATTGAATATTGGACATCACCCCTGGGCACTGGTCACTTGTGGCTTCACCACACACTAGCAGCTCCAGCCTTGGGGTCCTGCCTGGCCATTCTCTTCTTTTCTAGCTCTTCTCAGCCCTCACTTCTGATTGCTTCAGGGAGCTCTGGGTTCCTTTTACTTTATTCTGCAGACCTGGCTCCAGACCCTGCGTGGCAGACCCCACCCCATCAACATGGGCAACAGATCAAAAGCTTTTCGGTCACCCACTAGAGCAGGTAGTGGTGGTAATAAGAAGCACCTTTTGCTGTCTACATTCTGTGGAGGAATATAAGAATAGCTAATCAAAGGGCTTCCCTGGTGGCGCAGTGGTTGAGAGTCCGCCTGTCGATGCAGGGGACACGGGTTCATGCCCCAGTCTGGGAAGATCCCACATGCCGCGGAGCGGCTGGGCCCGTGAGCCATGGCCACTGAGCCTGCGCGTCCGGAGCCTGTGCTCTGCAACGGGAGAGGCCACAACAGTGAAAGGCCCGAGTGCCGAAAAAAAAAAAAAAAAAAAAACAACCAAAAGAATAGCTAATCAAGCAGGTTTTTATATTCAGTATATTTTCTCACTGCCATCTGCTCTCTGCATCATTCAAGAGGAATAGTAGTGAAAATTCGTCTTAATTATCATTTAAAATAAAAGTTTATTTATTTATTATTAAATAAATGAGCAAACGAATGCATTAAAATCTAAAAACCAAAAAAGTGCAATATGTAATTTACTTAACCATTTTGAAACGCAGTGTTTTTATATCTATAACTGGGATTCATTAGATTTAATCCAAAAGATAGTTGAGAAAAATAAAATAAAAGGTTTTTTTTAAGCTTGTGACTTCACTGGGTAATAACTGCCCACTTCATTAAAAAAAAAAGTGTAATGGTAAAATTTGACCCATATATAATTACAAAGTAATGCATTTAGAAAACAAACAGTAGTGGGAACGTTGGTTTTAATGGGATATAATTGTCCAATTGCAAATGCAATGTATAAACACTGAGTCTTGTAAATTAAATGAGGCAGTCAAGACCCCTATGGGACTAGGGTTGGCATATTTTTAGTCTCATTTGCCTTTCTCTAAGCTGCAGAAAAAACACATCTTTATGCATTGACTTGAAATGTTATACTTGCTTTTGTTTATTTTCTTTCCAGGTTAGACATGGAATACCTGCTGCGATGCATAGAGAAAAAGCGAGACTACCAGTGGCTAAGGTATAATAATGACTAATATGACCCTTATTATTAACTTAAATATTGTTTATATCAATGCTGACTATCCTTAGAGAGGAGTAATGACTTTGAAAGCTACACCAAGAATCAGTCTAATGAAGAGACAGAGGACCTGGTTGCCTCTATAGTATGATTCTGGGTTACATCCCTGCCACACCCAAAGAAATCTCCTTCATGACATGCCTACAATTCCACTGTTACAGATTCATTCCTTTGCCAAAACTTTGTCCCCTTGTAAAATAGAAACAGTACTGAGAAATGGCATACAGTTCTAATGTGATTGAGTTGGTCAGATCCTTTCCTGAGGACGGTTTTGATAGAAAGAGGAAATAGAGTAACTGGGGGCAGCTGCTGCTATGATGAAGAGATTTAGAAAAAGTGATACCTGGTAGGGGGGAGGGGTGATGAAGATAAATTTTGGCTACTTGGTAATATTGTCTCACACTGGCTGCTTTGAAGTGAATCATTTACAGGAAATGGAGGCATGGGATCTTAAATTCTTCCAGTTTATGGGAATTTGCAAGTAAATGTAACTCATTGTTCCCTCAAATTTTCGATGATAGTTAGAATATGCATGCTATTTAATAGAAATAACCTTTCAGATTTATGGGGAAATAGGGTATAATTAACTTTGTGATGTATTTTCTATTGAAAGATTGAAGAAGAGAAACATGGTTTGGAAGAGCAAATACAAATGTTAAAGGCTAAGTTAGAGAAAGAGAAAAAGAAGTCGGAGAGGTACTGGTAATAGTAATTCATATTCATTTGCAGTATATATTCATTTGCAATTCATTGTTCATTTGCAGCTAATACAGTATTTAACCACCTATAAATTTATTACAGGGTTAAGAAGGAATCAGATCAGATCAACAAAAACTGGGAAAAGAAATTCTTCATTCTCAGGAACAGGTATAGTGTGGTGATATATACAAATTCTATTTATAAAAATGCGACTAATCGTCTTTTAAGGAAATTGGGAGCCTTGCATTTTTCTGTATATATTAACTAATATGAAATGCCCTCAAATACCTCTTTCAAGAGATGCAAAATAACTGACCTAAAAAAGAAGAGTAGTCAAAGTCACTTCAAAGAAAAACTAATTCAAAACTGTTTTATTCCTGATCTCAGTGTTTCAAATTTAAATCATAGACAGGATGGACAGACTCTCTTGATACCTGGTTTAATTGGACCTACATAGTCATCTTCCTCCGTAGGGCTATTAAAACATTTCCATTCATTTGCACATGATAATATTTATCTCCAGATACAGAGACCTGAATGAGTGAGGGAGCACGCCATGTGATTACCTGGAAGAGACTTCCAGGTGAAGGAACATCACGTGCAAAGGTCCTGGGGTGGGGGTTTGCTTGTGTGTTCAAGGACAGTGAGGAAGCCAGGTGGCTGGAGAGACATGAGCAGGGAGGAGTGGTATAAGAGCTCAGTGAGGTAGAACATTTGGGGTTTTACTCTGAGATGGGAAATCACTAGAAGCTTTGTTTTCAATTGATACGAAAATTTTCTCTTTTACATGCCTACTGGGTCATTACCACACGTAATAAAGTTAGCAATATCAATCCTTTAGTACTACGTATTGACCAAATCATATTCAAATTCCTTGATTATCTCAAGGGAATCTCTTACAGTTGTTTGATTAAATCGGGATTCATGGTAGGTGGACCACTGCATTTGGGTGTTATATCCTTTAAATCTTTTTTTTCTTTCTATGATGGTCCCACTTACGTCCCCGTTCTTTCCAGCGACCTGATTTGCTAGAGAAATATGCTCATTTGTTATGTAGAATGTCCCCCATTCTGGATTTGACTAATTGTTTATGTGCACATGTGTATGTATGTGTGGTGTCATCTAACATGTTCTTCTATCTGTATGTCTTACAAACTGATCTTTAAATCCAGAGAGTTGATTAGACTCAGGTTCAATATTTTAGGCAAGACTACTTCACTCGAACTACTATGTAATTCCTGTGCATCACATCATAGGGCACATAGTGTCCGGCTATATTATTTTAATCAAGTGTTATCAGGCTAATTCATATATTTTAAGGTTCATCACTGACCTTTCTCCAAATAATTTTAACATCCATCAATGATCACAAACCATGATCCAAGATTTCATTAGGGTTGCAAATTGGTGATACCTTAATTTTATCTTTCCTTCTGCATTTCTTAGCTAAATTCTATTAAAGAAAAAAAAAGTTTTCCCCACTGGTTACCCTGAAATATAGTTTCAGACAAGATAAGGCAAGATAAATGCTTGATCCCCTTTATTTATCAATATTCAGAATAATGAGTTGGTACCCTAAAACCTCACTGGAGAGTCTTGAACTGAGGAAAGACCCAATGATCTGATGTCTTAAAAAAATTATGACTTGTGTTGATAAAAAGCCATAGGGAAGCCAAAGGAAAAGCAGGGAGAAGAGTTAAGAGCTCCAGAAAGAATAAACCCCTCTTAGGCAAAACATGATGGTGATTTGACTGGAATGGGAGACCTGGAGCTGTTGAGAAATGATTACATTGGGGATTTTTTTTTTTTTTTTTCGGTACGCGGGCCTCTCACTGTTGTGGCCTCTCCCATTGCGGAGCACAGGCTCCGGACGCGCAGGCCCAGTGGCCATGGCTCGCGAGCCCAGCCGCTCCGCGGCATGTGGGATCCTCCCAGACCGGGACGCGAACCTGTGTCCCCAGCATAGGCAGGCGGACTCTGAACCACTGCGTCACCAGGGAAGCCCTGGGGATATATTTTGAAAGTAGGATGTATTGAAAGATTGGAGATAAGGTGGGAAAGAAAGAAGTCAAGGATTTTACCTAAACAACGGGAAGGATGGAGTTACCTTCAACTGAAACAAGCAAACACATTTTGGCGGGAAATCAATTTTGATTTAAGTTGCCTTTAGTCACTTAAGGGTAGAGGTCTGGTGGCAGTGATGAGTATATGAGTCTGGAGTTCAGAAGAAAGTTTAGGCTGGGGGCATACATTTGGGATGCATTAGTATAGATGGTATTTAAAGCCATGGGATTAAATGAGATCAGCTAGGAATGAGTGTTGGAGAAAAATAGAGAGATACAAGGATTGAGTTCTAATATTTGGTAATAACTGACTTTCAGATGCTTTTTTTGGATCTGATGTTTTCCCTCTAAAGGACGTCCCTCTCTTGTGAACTCTTTTCGTCTTTTGCTTTATTGTTGGCTTGTGAAATTTATTTGTGTATTCTTATTTTTAATTCCTTATCAATTTTAGATGTTACAAATACCTTTCCTAGTCTATGAACTTTGTGTATGCTGACTTTTATTGTACAGAAATTCTTAATTTTTATCCATCAATATTTTTGCCTTAGGTGTGTTTAGAAAGTCTTTCTCCATCTCCACTAAAATATTCTCCCACGGTTTTAGACAAGCCTTCTTTATGGCTTGTCTAAATCTAAGCCTAAATCTAAATATGATTTACCTCTCATATTTAGGTCTTTACTCCAGTCCTTTCCGGATTGGGTTGTGGTGCCACTTTGGTCACATACTATGTTCTAGTACATTCCCAAATCTGTTGCAGTGTTCCTATTCTATTCCATTTATTTTTCCTTTCCAAACTGTTTTTATACTATGATTTTTGTGGTATATGTTAATATCTAGTATGGCTACTCCCTCCTATTTGCTTTTCAGGGCTGGAAAATACATAATTTTAAAAATCAAAGAGTGGTAAGTTCATACTAATATTTTTAAATTTTTACTTGTATCTCCTTGCTCTTACACTGAACATTCTAGTTTCTAATCACAAGAACATAATACCGATTTGCTCTTTCCTATAATTTCTGTTCATTTTAATTCCACTGCTTCTTTTGTTTCAGCTTTCACGTCCTTAAGAACGAGATGTTTACTAGACACACATTGTCCCGTCAGTTTGGAGTGCTGACTGACACATCCTTCAATTATGTTGTAAGTACACACTGGCTAGATACTCTTTGTCTCTTTGATGATACCTGTAACGTGTCTTTCTGAAGTTAACATTTTTTGAACCCCTGACATTAGAGGCTCTGGAGATAGTACATGAGTCACTCTGCTGAATGCTGATGGCATAAGACAGAGTGTCTGAACCCAAAGAGCTCAATCCAGTGTGAGACATAGATGTGTAAACAAATTGTTACCACGCAGTATGGTTGAGCTATAATGGAGGCAAGTGAAAATTTCAGAGGAGGGGGACTCATTCCCCCGGGTGGCATTTATCAACCTGACCATTTGTGTGCGTGGATGGAATGTAGGAACTATCACAGCTCAAGATCCAAGTATCCAGTCACTTCCAAATGGAGAAAGCAGGTAAAAGAATCTATTCCTAGTACCAAGCCATTCGTTTTCACACTAGAAGTCACCTGTAGATAAAGCCCAATTCTAAAATAGACTTTTTTTGGAAACTGAAGTATAGTTGATTTACAATGTTGTGTTAGTTTCTGGTGTACAGCAAAGTGATTCAGTTATATATATATATATATATACACACACACACACACATATATATACATAACTGAATATATATATGTTCTTTTTCAGATTCTTTTCCATTATAGGTTTTTACAAGATATTGAATATAGTTCCCTGTGCTATACAGTAGGTCCTTGTTGTTTATCTATTTTATATATACTAGTGTGTATCTGTTTAGTCCCAAACTCCTAATTTATCCCTTTCCTTTTCCCCCTTTGGTAACCATAAATTTGTTTTCTATGTCTGTGAGCCTATATCTGTTTTGTAAATACGTTCATTTGTATTATTTTTTTAGATTCCACATATAAGTGGTATCATATGATATAAAATAGACTATTTTTAAAACTGTTTACTTAATGTTTTCACTTGGGAGTTGTAATTGTAAAGGCAAATGATGACCAGTGTAGAAAGATAATCAATAAATTGCAATCAATCAGTAACTTAACATACTGTAAATGCTACTGAGAAACTACTACACAGCTAAGTGTTCTGAGGACAAGTCAGGTTTGTGGAAAAAGTCACAAGAAATATAAATTTTGGTTTCCTGCTTCAAGAGGCTTACAATCTAAAATCACTTTCTTTCTAAAATTTTTTCCACAATTTTCACTTTAAGTCAGTTTTCTAACTCCAAGTTGCTGCAAGAGATCAGAGAACTTAAGAACATTGGCAAGATAATATTATTTCTAATTTTTAACTAAATTTACATAGTAATATGAACCTTGCTGAGGATTTTCATAATTGACTCCCCTGAAATGTTCCAAAACTGGTCTACGTAGATGGGAATATATTAAGTCTCTTTCTTCTCCTTTTGGTTTTTTCTCTTCTCAACTGAAGGTTACAACTTTAATTGGAGTAATCCTCATTTTAGATATTTAATCAACTGGACAAATAAAATATTGGAGGACCCAGGAGAATGCTGTGCTACTCAAAAAGCAGGCTTTTTAAGGATTATCTGGTAAAATTTTCTGGTCCAAATTTGAATTGTCCAGGCTTTATGAAACAGACTTCTAAAATCTCAAAATTATTCCAGTCCAAGCATAGTAATAGATCCAGTATTTTCTTGAGAAAAATCTTGGCCCTGCCTCAGATGTTCATGCAATCTGTCTTCCTGTGGAGGAGAGATGGACTCTATCTAGTTGAGAATACATCTGTGTGCCACTACTTATTTGGGATTCAAGCTCATGAATCCTTATCTATATAGCTACACAGTATATATGCACTCAAGACACTCATCAAAGTGGACAGCGAATATTTAAGAAAAATAGAGAGAGGGAAGGGGAGAAAGTGATGAGTGAATGAGTTAATGAACTTTGGGTAAACTAACATTTTCCCTTGGTTTCCTATACTCTAGTCACTTGTCCATTCACAGATATTTGAGTACAAATATGTACCAAGCAGCATGCTTGGGTTGCAAATGTCATCTCCCAGTTTGTGGACAAGGTTTTGGTATCTTTTCATAAATAAATTGTTCTTAATCTCAATGTTAGTTTAATAATCTTTTCCTTATTGCCTTTATATTTTTTTCTGTCTTTAAGAAAACCTTACCTAACCTTTAATGGTTGAGAGTCCGCCTGCCGATGCAGGGGACACGGGTTCGTGCCCCGGTCCGGGAAGATCCCACATGCCGTGGAATGGCTGGGCCCGTGAGCCATGGCCACTGAGCCTGCACATCCGGAGCCTGTGCTCCGCAACGGGAGAGGCCACAACAGTGAGAGGCCCACGTACCGCAAAAAAAAAAAAAAAATTCTTCTCTGATGTATGCAAATGTCAGATCACTATGTCGTACACCTGAAACTAACATAATTTTGTCAACTATATTTCAATAATTTAAAAAAACCTAAAAAACAAAAAATATTTTCTTCTCTATAAACTTAAATTTTTTTTCTTGTTTTGCCTTTCGTATTTAGAGGTTTAATCCACCTAGAATTGATATTAGTGTACAGAAAGGTAGACATCTGATTTCATTTTCTTTTAATATAATCAGCAGATCTAGTGCCATTTATTAAAAAGTCCATCTTCTCCCCTGGTACATAATTCCACCCGTTATATATTACAGTAAGGGCTGATGTATGTATGAGTCTGTTTCTGTCTATTCTGTCCTACTGTTCTATTTGTCTATTCTTGCATCAATGTGATACTGATTTAGTATCTATACCTTTATTATAAATCTTTTTCTGATAAAACAAATACTCCTGCCCTGATGTTCTTCAAGAATGCCTTGGCTTTATTGGATCTTTACATTTCCATATAAAATTTAGAATCAGATTGTCAGTATTCACAGTATTAAAAAAAACATAAGAAACAAATTAAAAATTCTATTGGGATTTTGATTAGAAGTGCATTAAGTCTATAGATCAGTTTGGGCACAGTTGGCACCTTTTAGGTGCTGAATCGTCTAATCCATAAACAAGTCATAGCTTTTCTTGACAATATTATGTTAGTTTGCATTTTATCTCCACCGATTCTTTTCCAGAGACTTTTGTCAGTAGTTTCTAGAGGTTGTATATTCTTATACTCTATTGTTGGGGACAGCAAGTTTAATGAACTTTTCATCTAGATCTCATAATAGGTCATTTTTTAAAGAGTATAGTTCTGATTTCAGGATACTGTTTCTTTAACTGACTCTACAGTTTTTTCATAGTCCCTGTTTTATTTACTCTTCTCTCTCATCCTTGACAGGGTGAGGTGTGTTGAAACCCAGTGTTATCAACTGCATTCTCTTGTGTGTTGCTCAAATCTCCCTTTTACATTTCAGCTGGAAGGCATGTTGATAGGCACAGCCCCTATTTCTGACCCCAACTTCAGCAGGATTTTACCTTTTTCAGCCCTGGCAGAGAGGTTGTATTTTCTTCTACACCCACAGTATGAAACAATGGAGTACATTGGAACTTAAATTCTCAGCAGTCAGGCATTTAACACTGGCTTCTTTTACCATCTTTATGAAAGACTTGAAGGCAGTGAGGAAAGAACCATGTGTATATTTAAAAGAGTTTTCTAGACAGGGAAAGGACCATCGGAAGACTCTAAGACAGAAATGTACCTGGCATGTTTGAGAAACAACAAAACATCCAGTGTGGCTGGAGCAGTGAGCAACGAGAGAGAACAGGAATAAATATGGTTAAAGGGATAATAGGATTTTGATTTTTTTTCTATTACTCTGAGTAAAATTGGGAGCCTTTTAGAGTTTTCAGCAGAGCAGTAAGACAGTCTCACTTAACATTTTAAAGGGACAACTCTGGCAGCTATGGAGGCCGGGGGCAGGGAAAGAAACAGACTAGGAAGCTGTTGAAGTGATGCTGGTAAGAGATGGTGTGGCTTGGACCACCTTAGGAGAGCAGATGGCAAAACGGGGCCGACACATGCCTGGAGTACTAGGTAGTCCTATGCGGTGCTGGATTTTATGTACATGTAGCAAAATGGATGGACCTTAAAAGCATAGTACTTAGTGAAATTACTTTGTACATAGTCCTCAGCGAAAGAAGTGGAACACACGAGATGTGCTGTTTTTCACCCTGAATCTAAGATGTGCTCGGTTCAAGATTTTATAAGACTCTAAAAGAGAAAAAGTGCTGCCAATCATACTGTGACGCTCCGTCTATTGTCAGATGCATCCTGATTTTAGGGATGTTAAAATATCAGAAGGCTATGCCTTAGAATCAACAAAATAGGATATCACATAATACTAGCACAAATTAAAATACATGCACAAAATTACATATTTTTGCAAGAACATATTCAAATAAAAAATACAAATAAATATTTAAATTGTTTATTTGGTGAGAGGAACAAAAACAGAGTGGGGGCAGGCTGTGGGGAAATAGAAAAATGCGTGCAAACACACTTAATGTATGTGTGTATACACACATACAAACCAGCAAGAGAGAAGCCTTGAGTAGGGAGAACGTCACATAAATTTCCAGGGTGCATCCATGGACCTCAGACCTCTTTTTGATAATCATGCTTGGTGTACTTCTGGTCCTTTTCACTTGTGCATTTTTAATGTCATGATTTACTTTGCAGTATATGATGTTGGTGGCAATTCTGCTTGTGTGCTACTGCTTCTGAACTCCTGGAAGAGATGCTTTTGTTTTTTCACTCTTCAGTTCCTGGGAATCACGACCATCACTGTGTAGCTTCCAGGAGCTGGGTGGTGCTGGGGATGCCCCGTAGTACCTGACCAGTTACAAGCAGTAAATCCCATATGGCATAGGGATAATCAAAAGGAAGTAGAGTCAGAAGAGACATTAAGGAAAACATTTTTCTTGAATTTTCTCTCAAAGTAGCCTGAATTAGGAAGGGGTCTATTCCTTGGGTTTAAAGGAAAGGATTTCCCCAGCGATATTTGAGCAAATAAGTTAGGAGCATGATTTTCATATCTCAGTTAACTAAGGACTGAAAAACATTCTACGTCCATTTGGGCTGGTCATTATTTCCCCTGGATAACACGGTACATACTGTTTGTGTCTTTCAGAAAGCTAAACCTTTATTTGTGCAATCCAAAGTGAAATTGATAACAGCATCGACATCTTCTGCAAATGTTTATCATGCATCTTCGGTAGGTAGATTTTTTTTTCCCTATTTAACATTTAATCAGTCAGTATTATTCAGCCTCAGTAACGAAACGGTTTGGTTTACCTACAGATAGACAACAGGTATGTCGACCTAGACAGGGATCACATATCCCTCCCTCCTTCACCAAGAGATAAGAATCTTTATTGTTGGAGAAATGGTTCATGCAGGATGGGTAATTAAGATTAATAATGCTTTTCTTTGTTGTCCTGAGATGTTTGGTTTCTGGATGAATGCATGACTTTTTTCAGCCAATTTATTAAATTAATAGATATGATAAATAAAAGAATGTTAATGTATATTTCTGAATATTGATCTCTGCTAACTAAAAATGAATTAAGTCATATTTCAAAATCAGGAACTGTCTCAGTTGGAATCCTGTTTCTTTTTAATTAAACTGCCAACAAACCCGAAGCTCCTGTTAAATCCCTATTTTTCCAATTTAATGCTTAGAAGAAAAGGACAACTATTTATAGCATCCTTTATCTCCCATCAGTCCTTGTGTGGCCTCAAATTGGACTCTTTTGGAGGTGGAAGTATATTTTGTCCACACGTTTCTGTAAGTCTTTAGGAAACAACCATGCTTGCTTTTCTCTAATAAACAAGTTGGATTAATGAAATGCAACGTTATTTGTTTGAATTATTGATGGTAATCAAAGGGTATCAGTAATTTCTGTTGTTCATGTCTGGGAATCTTTAAAAGTAGACTTTTATAATGAATCTTTGTACAAGGAGGAAGTGTGTGATATGAGTTTAAATCCTGGACCCTAATTTTTTTTTAACATCTTTATTGGAGTATAATTGCTTTACAATGGTTTGTTAGTTTCTGCTGTATAACAAAGTGAATCAGCTATATGTATACATATATCCCCATATCTCCTCCCTCTTGCGTCTCCCTCCCACCCTCCCTATCCCACGTCTCTAGGTCATTGCAAAGCACCGAGCTGATCTCCCTGTGCTATGCTGCTGCTTCCCACTAGCTATCTATTTTACATTTGGTAGTGTATATATGTCAGGGCTACTCTCTCACTTCGTCCCAGCTTACCCTTCCCCCTCCCCGTGTCCTCAAGTCCATTTTCTATGTCTGCATCTTTATTCCTGCTGGACCCTAATTTTAAAATCAACTTTTTGAAAACTAGATTGAGAAAGGAACCTCTCTTCTGGGCCTCCATGCAGTGGAGAGGCTTTTTCTGTAGTGCTTACGGGTATAGGTAGTACCTTTGCCGGAGGTGCCTGCCTGGGTGCAGAGGAATCTTTCGGCAGTCACAGTGCTGGCTGCCTCCTGGACTGGCATTTAGGTGACAGTAACACCCAGCCTGGACTCTGTACCAGCTGCTAGCCTAGGGCATGCAATTTAAAGATATCACCTTTTTTTTTTTTTGCCACACTGCGTGGCTTGGGGGATCTTAGTTCCCTGACCAGGGATCAAACCGGGGCCCCCTGCAGTGGAAGTGCGGAGTCCTAACCACTGGAGTGCCAGGGAAGTCCCCGAAGAGATCAGCATTTAAATAAGGGACTAGCTCTGTTGAATTGTTGGAAATTCCAACCCATACAGTAAGTTATTTCTAAAATATCACAATGTATTAGGGGAAGAGAGACTCATGATTTATCATAAAAATATAAATTGTTAAATTTGGAACCTGTGTTCCACCAGACATTTTAATTAGAGAGCTTAATTAACAGCAAAAAATTCAGTTGAGAATTTTACATCCAAAAGTGATTTTTCTCTGCCAAGCAAAACAGTTTTCAAAGATCCATTTGTAGTCATACAAACCGACCTTGATGGCCACCTGGGCCATAAGGCAGCTTTGGCCAAAACAAACACTGTCACTCCCTTTCCTCTGTCCTGAAAATGTGAAGTGTAGAGTTATTTCCACCCTGTCTACGGAAAGTCCTCCTAAAATTCATTAGCCCCCTTTTTTTGCCTTACTAATAAAATTGAAAGTAAATGCTATTTTATGATCCATAATTTTGCAGCATGCCACAAAGTGCCTCATTCTGAATATGACTGCACCGCAGAAGAGGCGTGGGCGACAGTGTCATACTGAAAGCCTCTGGGCATAACCCTGATGTTTCTACAAAACCTCTGATATAACGTTGACATGTCATGTTTTCCCCTCTGAAGATAGTGTGGGGAAATCATCCAGTTAACAAAAGTTTCTGGTTAATTGGGTTCCAGTTCATCCAAAATTGACTAGAAATAAATTTTCTATTTTTAATGGATAAGAAAACCAATACATAAATGCCAGGAGGAAACTGAATTACAAATTTACTAATTGGGGAGTAGATGAGTATCAGCCTTTCACAATTATGGGGACTGAACAGTATTCACACTAGACGGTCAAAGGACCAAACTGTTGTCACAAAACAAATCACTCCAAGCTTCTCAGGTACTTCAGAAGGTGGAGAACCCCCTTCAGGCCCCTAGGAAATAGTTTAATACGTTATCAGTGTTTTCAAGCACTAATTCACAAATACATTTTCAAAGAGGTGTTTAGCTACATGGTTTGTACGTACCTGACTTACAGACAAATCTTAATTACTTTCTATAACACAGGGGTAACCTATATGGTGACAGAAGCCAAATTCAACCCTGTAAAGTCACTGTGGTATTGAGTTCTGTTTTTTAAATTATGTAAATAGAATATTAATATTTTAAATACCCTACGAATATTTATCCTCCCTGTTAACAGCATCCTTGGTGTTGCATCAAAGATAGAGGTTCTTACGTTGTATTTTCATACCACAAGGTACTTTTGAAAATTACGGATAACTACCATTTAGTGGGTGTAGGTACTATTCCAAATGCCTTTTAAGTTTTAACTCTAATCCTCACAAAAACCCTATAAAGTCAGCACTCTTGCTTTCTCAAGCCTTAGAGGAGACAGTTGGACTCAGAGGGGTTTAGTAAGCTGCCAGGTTTATGACCACAAATAGATTATTAATTTATAAATAAGGCTGGGTTCAGACCCAGGGAATGTGGCCCTAGAGCCCAGGCTTGTCACCACTCAGTTATATTGACTTGCCCCAAGGCTCACGCATGACAATGTGTGGTCCCATTTTCAACAACACACAATGGGAAAACGTGATGTAGCAGAAAGGCTTTGGAGGTGGACAGACTTCGATTCCTGTCTCATTCCAGTCACTCCCTGGGTAACTTCATTCAGCTCCCTCTGCTGTGTAAAATGGAGATGGCGACCCCACCTCCTAGCTTTGTTATGAGGATTAAATGAGGTGAAGTGCCTAGCTAACCCCATCCCTGCCTTTCCTCCTGAGCTATGGATAATATAATCCCTGGGTTCCCAAAATAAAGTCAGGCAAACCTGCTTTTTAATCTACTACACGAGAGCTATGATGTCTTCAGCAGTAGGCTAGTGATTTAAAAGAACTGGTCTCTCCTTTAATTCTTTAGTAACTAATTGTCTACCAAGCATAAGAAAGAATAAAATTTGTCACTGGTATCAGATCATATGGTAGATATTTTGAAAAGAGCAAAATAAAACAAAACATAACTTAAAACAACGTTATATCAGGTGATATATCTTTCCTAAGCAAATTGAAATTAACTTTTTGTTATGTTGCAAGCTTTACTCCAAAAAATTCTAGCAAGAACAACAGAGTTATTCTTGCAACAAAGGAAGTTTAAGAGATAAATAAATCCTCATCAATATAAGGGAATAAAAAAATGAGGTACCATACTATCTGCAGAATTTCAAAGCCGTTTTTTTTACACAGTAGTAATTATCCCAAAAGATCCCAGGTAACATTATTAATTTGTTTGCTGCTTAACTGTGATAAAATTTGGGATCTGAGCTGCCCATTGTGCACTGTGCACTGCCACAGATTTTATGTACTTAAGAAGACCTTTCTCACAGTCCAGTAATTAGGTGCTATTGACATTGTAATCTTTGAAAATGTTCCTAATGAGCCCCAAAGACACAAATCTCATAGATAAAACCTCAAAGTAACAGTGACCCTTTAAGTGGCTTGTCAGTAAGAGAAAGCTCAAACATAAATATCTGAAACACAGGAGACACCCAAATTTAAACCTAGATTACATTGTATTGTTAATTCTCTCAGTCTTTTAGGGAAGAAACATGGAAGAAGTGATTTTAAAGGCTTTAAAGAATAGTAGAACAATCGCAATACGTTGGATAGGATTTTAAAACCTTTCTTTTCACCCTTTGAAACTTTGGACCTGAAAAGTGTTTTTTTTCACTAAGTGTATTATTATCCACCAATTTATAAAAATAAATATTAATTGAAAGTGGAGTTCGGTTGACCCTGCTGTTGTTTTAAACACAAAAATAATTTTAAAAATCACACAAGAAATTGGAATTTAAAAGATAAAAAGGAAAGCATTTTAGGCATAAGTGTTAGCATTGTTTTACATATTGTTTCTAGACTTCAGGTATAATTAATATAATTTACTAAGGTATTCATATTCAAATGCGTATTTTACAGTATTACCACATATACCACATACATACATAATATATAACATCACTTAGCATGTAATTGATGGCTATTAAAAATGTTAAAATAGGACTAACCTGATTTTACTAAATATAATGTATTAAGGAGTCTGTTAATGTTCATGATGTCACTGCCACCAACTTTTCTACTTCCCTTATTGTCACCAATTACCTGTAATTCAGATGTCGTATTGCTAAGTTATATATGTCATCCTTGTCTTTGAGATTTGGGCTGATTCTCAACTACCTTTTCTTAAGAATTTGCCTTGCTCTTTATGCCTGTGTTCTAGAGATATTTTCTATTCAAGGCATGGGATTTAGGCTATTAAATGACAAATAAAGCCTGGAAGATCAGCAGTGTGTCTCTTAACATACCTTTCCAAATACAGGGAATTCTCAATGGCATAGAAAAGAGCCAGGATGACCAACTGGATTTGAGAATTAATCTGAAGTTCTCTAGCCAACTGAAGCTTTGTCCATTGGTCAAATAGGGAATTGAAAAATGTGAAAA